CCGGCTGTAATTAGTGCATTGTTTGGCAATCTTACTTCCGTAGTTTAATCGAAGGTATAAAGACCAAGACAATGGACTCCGGACTAGGTGCGTTTCTTTAAGTTGTCTTAAAAGATTTATTGAAACCCAGATACTCTTCGTACCTAAGATCTCTCGTTGAATCGCATATTTCAAGACAAAGATGGTGTGACCTCTATATTGGCCGAACTTTTTTCCTTGTATAGAAGTGGAATGGTTTTGTCTGTTGTATGGTGATTTTCGCAGTATCCAGGGGCAAGACGACAATTAAACTAAATTTCAATCATATAAAACAAATTATTCTATTATTCCTGGTTATTTGCAGGATTAACTCAAAGAACGCGAATGTCCCTGTTAGCTTTCTTACTCATTCAAATTAAGTTTATTTTTGAGGACGTTTAATTAGCCCACAGACAAGTTTCCAAGGAAAGGGACTGATTCAACTCACAACCAGCTGAAAATAGGATTAAGACTTGATTTTCTCTTTGTTTTAATAATAAAATATTTCCGCTTAACCTTTCCTTCATATTATACTAGTTAAAATGACTCAAAAATTTGTTTAAAGCCTTTTTACTTAGAACTCTGTATGGCTTTCTTGCATGCATTTTATTACAAGGATTGAGCATATATTCCTTATAATTGTAAGAAACGAAATTGAATTTAATGGAAATAACATGTTTGCCTAGGTTAAGACGTGATTAGGGAGATACCTAGTTTGCTAAGTGTAACACCAATTATGTGAACAAACCGACTTCAAATTCCATTGTGAGTTTTGTGATAATGATGGGGCGATGCCGTAGCCGTAGTGAAATGCGGATGAAAAAATCTACACGGAGACAAGGCTAAGTAAAATACAGTTGCACAATGACGCCTACTTATTCCTCTGTGGTAAATTTAAGGAGTGGTTCTTATATAACTTTACAAAAACTAGAGTGACTCAAGTACTAACTCAAGATGTATTGGTGTCGAGAAATACACATATAGAGCCAAAGACTAGTCTTCAACTTACACTTAAAACACTTTATGGCACAGTTTACGTTGGGTTTTAAGCGCAACATCACTAAGTATAAGGATGAATGAAAAAGTGTGCCAGCATTGAGAAATTGAGACATAAAAAAATTTGGCATTATTAAGTGCATACAAATGAGTGTTGATATTAGCCAAAAAAAATCGAGTATCTTTTGTTTTATAAATAGGCTTTCGAGACTTCACTCCATATATCAAATGAAATATTACCTTATGAAATGACAAGTGGATATGATGTAAAAGTCCCCCTCTCGACTTGAAGGTAAGAATCAAATAAAGCTTGTTTGACAGATCGAACTAAAATAATCAAGATCCTAAGCTAATTGTTCGCACTTGCATAACATCACAAGAAGCCGATAGGAATCAGAGCACATAGGTAGTTGGTACTAGACTCAGAGATTGTTGCTCAAATGCTAAATGATTTTAAAGTTAATGATAACGGCCCTTTATTGAAAATGTATAGAATAGATCCCATAAGGAGAATACATCTGTCCAGGCTCACGTACATACTCTTTATAGAGAAGGTTAAAAAGAAAATGGTGATAGTGATGATGAGAAGTAATTTTAACCTGGATAGGTTAAACATAATTAAAATACACATTAAGATAAAAGTAAAAGTCAAATCCAATTAAGCAGGAGCAGACCAATTATGTGTAATGAAAAATCAATGGGTTGCTGTGAGCAACAAAGTTTAACTTAAAGATTACAATATTTCGATATTTAGCCTCCTAAACCTTTTAAAAACAGAATGGAATGACGAGTTTTACTGGTTATTTCAAGGAATATTGAGATTAAAGAGTTGGGTGAACAAATGCACTGATAAGGGCTTGAACTAACTGCAACGGCGTTCTTGACTTAAATATCAAGTATTCTTAAAGAGTGTCAAAAATACTTACAAGTAAGATGAGATAGAAACTAAATAAGTTATAAAATAGTATTATAACTGAAATTAGCTATTCATAAACTAGGAATACGAATTTATATTGGGAGCGGCTACCAGCTATTCGGATTAATAAGAGTTAATCTTAAAAAAAAGATTGGTCTCACCATCTGTATCGCCAAACAGGTTGTAAATTTGTTCAGCATCCTGCAAAGTTAAATTGTGTGAATTTTCAAATTGCATTACTACGTCGCTAGGTTTCCATGGGGGTGACTTTGGATACATCATGTGAAGAGACGAAAAGGATTTAATCAGGTCTCTATAATTTGTCGGATTCAAAAGAGGCACATCAAGATTGTCACCTGAATAAGAAAAACCAAAAAAACATTGAAGGAACAATGAGTTGACTTAATGAATAGATGAAAAGTTTGTTGGAATAAATTCGTGAAATGGTCTTACCGGAAACCAAAAGAAGATTGCCGCGGAGTAAGGACTATTGGATTGGCCTGCGACCTCGATGAACATGTATTAAGCTTTGGCTTGTACTGTGACAGGCATCGTCAGAGCAAGAATCCATCCACACAAATATACTAAACAAAATAAAAGATGGCCGGCTGCAACTCTAATCACATTTTTATACACCTAACCTTGCGGCTTTAATGAGGCATGCCATGATTTGGTTGACTAACTCAAGCTTACTCTACATGCTTGCAGATGAGTAAAGTTAATTCATGATACGGTAGTGGACTCGCTGGCAGTTGCTTCCTTATAAAAATAAACTAGTGTACGATCCTCTAATGCCAACCCATGTTTATGTCTGCGTGTGTGTATGTAATGTTGATGTCATGAGAGGTGTGATTATCTAACTAAACTCCCACTCTAATCCCATATGTATGATTTAATAAGAAAGTAATAAAGGTTGTGGGTTTCGTATACACGTTAATGCCTAACTTGTAACCTTATTTACTCGTTAAAACATCCATAAAAGGCAATTTATTCTCCTTTTCTAACTCCATTATAAAGTTAATATTGGATTCTAGTCTAATTTTCAGCCTCAAGAATTCATTCAATCTATCTTTTCCGTGATGCCAAAATAGCAAAATAATTGTTCATACATTGAATTAATTACTTTGGAACTAGGAATGCCTAACATAGGGGCCAAACAAGATCCCATAGTAAAGCCCCATGTTTGCTGATACAACTTACCATGGCCAAATTGACTAAACTGATGATTACATTTCTGCCTAACATCTTATTTGTAATGATTTCATGATGCTGATGCATAAAACATAAAAATTTATGTATCCGTACTTAAAGCTAATCTTCGAAAGTGTGAAGTTTTAGACAAGGAACTCTTACTAATCTATAAAATTAATTGATGATCAGACGATAGAAATAAACAATAAAGGCCTTAGGGTTAACTCTAGATTAACATCCTGAGAACATAAGGACTAAAAAGATAAGCAAAGATTTGATCGTTAGGTAATACATATTCTACCTTCAATGGTAAGTTGTATGAACAAACATGGGGCTTGGCTATGGGACCTTGTTTAGCCTCTATTTAAGGTAACAACTTTACGGCCAAATTAGAAGTTCGTATCCTTTAAGAAGCACTCATAATTCCCAAGTTATTACTTAGTTATATGGACGATTATTTTTCTATTTAGCATAAAGACAAAGAAAGATTGAATAAATCTCTTGAGCTTAAAAATAGAATAGATGCTAACATTAAATATGCTATGGAGTTAGAAAATGATCCAGACACTCAGGTTTCCTCATTAATAACTTATCCAAGCAGACACAGATTTTAGGTCGGAGATAAAAAATCAACTAATAAAAAGTCTGCGTAAAGTAGACACAAAACACAGGGACAAGAAGATTGGTGAATTGAGATATATATCGAAGGTATTAAGACCAAGATGGTGTGGCCTTTTGTGTGATCGCAGTCTCCTTTCGAAGTATAGAAGTTGTTTGACCTTGTTTTCGCAACTTGGTCATATTAGTAGGAAGACTTAGAGGAACTTATCTTGTCCGGAGTCTATTATATGCATGACAATTTCCAAAGTCGGACCGCTAACATGGTACTTTCCCAGGCGTTTCGCCGGCATCGTCAGTGAGTCCTGCCATTCTTAGCACCATAATACCACTATAGTACCAAAGTACCACGTCCACGCTCCGACTGGAAATACTCATGCATACAATGGACTCCAGACTAGGTGCGTTCCTTCAAGCCTTACTACCAATATGACCAAGTTACGAAAACAAAATCAAATAACTTCTATGACATATATATTGTTTAAAAAAGATTTACCGATTAAGAGTAATAGAAAATAACATTTCAAATGTCAATAACAAGATGAGGCGAGATTGCTATTTGAGGTGGGATAGATAGATATACCATTATACTCGCCTCTTGATTTTGCCTTCCTCTTAACTTGCAAGAATGTTAGGTAACCAACTGATTGTTGGAAAATCCAACAACGAGAATTTCTGAACCTAGGACAGCGAAATCGACAGATTGATGATAAATTTATTAATTGAAAAGTGACCACAAACAATTCACTAGCTACTGAGGATATACAAGGAAGGAGAACCACTAAGGTTACTAGTCAACAACAAACATGAAGTGAGACATAAGATAGCGAAACTCATATTCTCTAAGCTCAAGGAGCTAAAAGATATACAATCAAATGCCATGAAGAAGCCATATGGATTTTATTAAAAGATAAAAAATTGGTGGCTTGCAGGGACAGAACTGTTGGTGTGTCTTGACGTATAATACATGCATAAAAACATTTAAGGCCTTGCTGGATTTATTGGAACGAGAGGAGGACATCTTGGAAACGGGGCGGATTCGGAAAGTTTCATAAAAATGACTAATCAATCGGATAGTAAGGAGCACATACTTTGCATTCAACGATAATAGATATTAAAAAATAGTTGGACTGGCTATGGGATCCCCACTTTCTCTCTCGCCATGTCTGGAAAACGTAAACATGGACAAGTTAGAAAATAAATTTGAGAAGTTACTACTGCAACAAAGAGTGCTCATACGATACCTGAATGACTAGTTTGCACTTTAGTCACATTGTAAGGAACCGCCTTGATGAAGAAGTAAATAAACGATGGAAGTGTAAGAGGATGGGAGAACATCTTTCCTGGATGCTGAGGTCATCCGCTTTAACAGGATACTCAATACGAAATTATTCATAAGGAAACTACATGCAAGGATGAGCCTCGATTTTCAGTCCCATGACAAGTACAGATTGAAGATAAAAGGAATAGGGAGTTTGATCATGGGAAGCTCAAGGCCAGGAGACATGAAGTTATGAGACAAAGAGATGAAAAAACTGACTCGAAGTCCCCTTGGTAACGGGTTGCCCGGAGAGATCATACAAGGAAATATCAGGGCCATTAAGGGCAGATGGCAACTGTGATTTAAGTAAAATAAAATCAGGAATCAGGAGGAAGACCACAGGTGGATATCAATGACCTTCTTTAAATTGAGTAGATAATTGCGACCGTTTCTAAGACAATGGAGTATCTAGGTGATAACGAAAGCGAAGACAACACTCTCCACCATCATGCCGATGCAAGAGGAGAAGGTTAACAAACCGGATTGCTCGGGGTTATCGCACAACATGCAGCAATTGTGAGCAGAGGACAATTGGTGAAACAGGAAGAAAGGTCAGTCTATGAATCGGGGAGTATTAAAAACTCTGTATGAATATGGATACGGAAAAAACCGAAATAGCGGAAGATATCAAACATACGGGACAAGAAATTGATTGGTAGGTGACAGAAAGACCCGTTGCGTATGGCTAAAATGCAATATTCAAGATACAATCGATATCCTGACTGAAAGAAATCTAAAGTAGAGTAGATCAGGCAGGAGCAACTAAAACTTTGAATATTGTTGGAGCAAAATTTAAGTATATCAGGGAGCAGCAAGATCGAGGAAATAAGTTGAACAGGAAGAAAATGGATATCAAGGAAGCGACCCTCTAGGGACAATAGAAAAGTTCTGCTGTGAGTGTAGTCAAACTAGGTAAAATAATTTAGAATTAAAACCTAAATTACTAAGGAATAGGAAAGTTATAGATTGGCATTATTGATAGCAAAGCAAGAACAATTCGACCAGAAGTCAACTCTAAAGATGATTCAGATACTGGAAGTAGCTTGCTCACAGTATACGAGAATGATCAAAGAAATGTGGTATATTTCAATTATCCCTCTGACAAGTTATCATTTGGTGCTAATTAAGGCAAAGCTCTAGGACCATTCCGACTACGATACAGGCGAGATGTCTAAGGATGTACGATTCAACGCGAATATCTCACCACAAGATCTTATGCAAAGCCTCGTGGAGGCTATGCAAATTATGGACTGATGCACTTAAGATTGATTAAACATATGAAAATGAGCTTATAGATGTGAATGAAATAAAACCTTACCTTCAACTAAAATCTTAAACAATTTGAAAGAACCACCAAGAGGTACTGATATGAGTATCAGTGAGTCAATATATTGTGAACGCCATTCCTCAGACATTTTATTTAGGAAGTAGAGTGAGTAAGTTCCACCCATACTGTGTCCGAGCAATGCCACCTTTCGATTCTTTGAATTATTGTAAGTCTCCTCAACCAATACTTTAAGCATTGGAACAAAACCAGGGTTTTCGGCTGATAAAATGGAAAGTAAGGAAAAGTAAATCTATTAGGTATGATCGTAAAATAAAATGAATTAAGGAAATTGCAGGAACTATTTATAAAATTTATAATATATAAGTTACTCATTCAGAATATGTTTTATAAAACCAAATGTTGAGGTGAATATTTGGCATTTTCATTACAGAGTTTGTGATACAAACTTCATAGCAAAAAGTTGATGAAGTATACTTTATCAAAATATTCTGAACAATATTATATTCTATCTGATACCATTAGGCAATTTCAACATTTTTAAAATCAAAGATAGATAAGATAGTTAATATAAATTGCCTCAATAAAAAAAGTAAATGTATGCTTACATGGAGATTTTCTAAAATCATAAGGAGCTCCACGAATAGTAAAATTATCAATATAAAATGGATCTTTTAGAAGCTCCGAAGCCAAAGTATTAAAATATTTAATGGGAAATCCGAAAACTCCTCCGATATGAGAAATTGACCAAATTTCACCCCAGCCGGGGAAGAAATTATTACTGGAAAGGTCTGTTGTCCTTTTTGTAGAATAGTTATATGTAAGTCTAGAAGTATGTAAATTTTTAAGAATTACCTAAAAGATGATGTAAATTTCTGATAAAAGAGCAATGATAATGGATCAATCCAAATGCGAGTAGCATTATGATCTTTGTCTAAAACTTTATAGCTCTGTGATCCGCCCAAGCCAGGAATAAGAATAACTGGCTTTTTCAAGGAAAAAGCGGGATATAAAAGGAATAACAAAAAGAAAAAGTACGTTAGACGGAACATACTCAAGAAAAAATAAGTATTTGAGTGTTGAGCTCCAAACATTAATATATAATTGTAGATAGTTAAAACAAAATTTAAAAGATTCAAGATATAATTGTTATGATTAATACATATGCAAATGTGGTTAAATAAATATATTCAAACGATTTTTTTTATTTTAATCTAATTTTGGAGAATAAAGCAAAAAATTTTAGATTTCATAACCTCAAAGATAAGTGGAGCTGTAATGATCCCATATCAACAGTTGAGTTTTTTTATTAAAAAGGATCAAAAATTTATTTAGAGTGCTAGTTAGGGCAATTAACTTTTTTTTCCATTATATTTATATAAATAATACCATGAGATATATTCACCCAATTTCGTTTAAGGTGATGAAGGACTGGTAGAAGAAATTTCTCTCATTGATATGAGTAGATCTGACCTTTCCATTAAATTTCACATAGTCTTGCTTTCCCAAAAGTTGTTATTATTCAGAGTGGACTGCCGTTTCGACATTGCATCAGTT